CCCAAACAGGCTTTCCATGGCAGGAAGTTTTCGGTTTGCTTTTTGTTTGGTTGGTTTTGTTTGTTGTTTTTTTTTTCTCTTTTTGAGAGATTTTTTGCAACAGGGCACGTTTGCTCACTGGAGAGACAAAGCTAGAAATCACCACCCTCCGGGAGTATAGCCATGCCGCAATCCCGTCTCCATTCTCTCAGGATTTGGGGCACACATGCACATGTGCCTGGCATGAGTTTCAAGCCACCAGGTCCAGGACTTGAACCACAGTTGATCACATGGGAGTCCAGTGTCTTAACCACACCACCTACTGGCCCCTTGGTTTGCTTTGTAACAATTGGGTCTGATGCTCGAGGCTGTAGAAGCCTTGTTCAAGTCAGAAGCCTAATTTTTGCCCTGAACCTATAGGACCCATGCCTGCCTATGACACAGGGCCAGCTAGACGGCACAGTCACAGCCTGCAGCCCCTGGCTGGTGCCTGTTTCTCTCCCTCTCTCTCTTTTTTTCTCTTATAGGAAAAGTAAATAAATAAAACATTTAAAAAACTGAGACCAACAGGCAGTTGTTAGGAAAAGAGAAAGGATAAGCAAATGAACGAATGAAAAAGACTTTCTCGCCATGTGACCTGGCACCCACAGACGGCCACCCAGCCACCGCGAGGTGTCCCAGCAGCTGAGTGTCATCAGCCCGACCCGCCAGATTTCACAAGACAGCAAGCACGGGAACAGGGCCGGGGACATTCCAATGAACCCGGAAGGATGTTTCTCTAATCTGTTACAGAGTTCACTGGGGACAAAGGAGCGTGTGTTCCTGCCTGGGCCTCAAAGCGTTTTCCCTCCCAGATAAAGACGTCTGATTTGCCTTTTAGAGTAAGAAGAGAAATAATAATAAAAGTAATACACAAAGAAAGGTCATAGTAGCCACCAGAAGTGGGAGCTGACGGATCCCCAGTGCTGGTCAGCGAAGGGCGCACAGAGCCGCACCCCGGCAGGCGCACCCCGGCCGCACCGGCGCATCTGGACCCGCTCAGGAATTTAGACAGGCCCTTCTCACGCTGGCCGTGGCTTGCCCAGGTGCCCAGCTCGCCGGCCTTTGGCAGTGCTGGTAGGAGCTGCACCACTCACCTGGTCTGGTCAGCCCAGGGCTCTGGCCCCACAGCCAGACCTGAGGCTATTCAGTTCCCAGCGGATCCTAAGTAAAGGGAACACAGAATTGATTCCTGGGGTGTCAGCAGTGGAGCTGGAACGTAGGGACCCAGGTTTGGGAAGGAAGGCAGGAGAGGGTGCCTGAGCCAGTTTCCAGGGGAGGCACTTGCGATGCGCCCAGCTCCCGCCCACCCCTGTAGTCCAGGACAGCCCCATGCAAGGCTGAGGTAGGGGTCAGATGCTGCACGCCTCCCAGCTCAGCCCCAGGTCACAGGCCTCCAGAGTTAGTAGGATACCTGGACGCAGATACCGTGAATTCTGCAAAGCCCAGTGCAGGCCGAGTCCCGTGACCGCACCTTTGCCTTCAGGGTCCCTGATGCCTGAAGAGCCAGAGCCCCACTCGAATCCAGTTAGTCCTCGAGAGACCAGGCTGCATCATGGTGGACACTGCACGCCCTTAGAGCAGCCTGAGTTCTCCATTCCTGCAAGCCACAGATTCGACACGAAGCAGTGGAGAGCCCACGCCTGCAGCCTCAGTCCCCAGGCACACTGCAGACAAGCCTCTGATGCGCAGCACGACCAGAGGTCTCAGGGCCCCAGGGCAGTGCAGGGGGCCAGCCGATGCAGCCTTGGCCCAGGCGGGTCCCAGCAGGCCGGCCAGCCCACGGTCCGGGCTCGGGTTTGCAGCTCTCAAACAGCTGGCCCTGTTGCCCGAGAGTTGCCCCTGCCCCGCGTGGGGGGCAAGTTTGGCCTTGGCAAG